TTATGGTGAGCACATGAACTCTATAGAAAAAAAAAAAAAAAGTAGGCTGACCCTGCCTTAAAGGATCATTTTTGATATGAACTGTTTGAAGGCTGGAGATGTCATATACTGAGGTGGGAAATACTACAGAAGAGGCAAGCATGAGGAAGCACTGGGTGTCTGGTTTTGGACTTACTTGAAATGCCTGCTGACCTTCCTGGTGGAGGTGTCAAGTACACGGTTAGAGGTAGATGCATCTGGAGTCAAGGAGAAAGGTCTGGACTAGAGCTAGAAACTTAGAAAACGGCAGCGTATCACTAATACTTGAAGTTGTGCAAGTTGGGGCCATTGGGAGCAGGTGTAGGCCTAGGCCTGGGTTTTCTAATGGCTAGAGGTTGAACTGAGAAGGCACAGCCACTGAGGTAGAGGAGTGAAGAGAGGACAACATTTGGACGCTCAGTAGAGAATGGATTAGCTGTGTCCAATGATTGCTAGTAAGACAAGTAAGACGAGGCCTGAAGCCTGGCCTTGGGATTAGCAGTGTGAGAGGCACTGGTGCTGTGCGCATGGCAAGGCAAGGCCTGATGGTGTTTTAGAGAGCACAGAGGAGAGAAATTGGAAACAGCCAGAATAGACACCTCTGAGAAAGTGTATTGAGAGAGGCACAGGCAAGGCAAGCAGGGGGAGCAAATTGTCAATAATCTCTAGAGATCCAGTGACTCAGGGGACATAGGTGACTGCAGGAAGTAGGGTTAGTTGGTGTTGTAGTCTGGCAGCCGGAGCTTCAAAGCCAGAGTTCTCAGAGCGGAGAGAATGTTCTGGAAGAGACAGTGAGAAGCAAAGGCCGTTACACACTTCCACGGCCATAATACAGGGAACGTGAGAAGGAAAGGGCCACTGCTGTGAAGGCTGAGGGAGAAGCTGTGTCCTCGGGGACAACCGGGCTCACTTAGAGTAAGGGGTGAGATGGTGTTCAGAGGGCAGTTGATGTTCTCTGGGGTTTGCCACTGAAGAGTCTGAGTACTAGGGTGGGAGATTGCACCAGATCGGGGGATTTGCAGACTGGTTCAGGGACCAGAGCTGACTGGAGCCTTGGACTTGCTGTAGTGTTAATAAAACAAGCACTGATTGCTTAATAGACCTACTATGTACTTTAAATACACAGTCCCGTTGAATCTTCTCGGCAGTTCTTTGAGGCAGGCACGATGTAGTAAGTATCCCGTCGAGAGAGAGGCTTGGCTGCAGTCACACTGTTACCATCCTCCCCGGCTAGGTGTGAACCAGCTGGCCTGATCTGAAAGCCTGTATTCCTTACGTTCTATAAAGCCAGTATATGGTATTTGTCACAGGGATTTTCGGATGGTCTGTAATCCCCGAAATATTTTTATTTAAGTTTAATTTTAGGTTCTGTCTTAGGCTTTCTGTAGTTGAGACTTCTTGATAAACTGGCCTTTGGCAGATTACTCTTCCCTCCCCTTCTCCTTCCCACATTCTGTTCATCCATCCATCCATCCATGCATCCACCCACCCATGCATCCATTCCTCCGGGCATTCAGTGCCTGTTCCCGAGTACCTGCTGTGTCCCTAGCCTCAGGCACTGGTTGTAGGAGAGAGAAGGGAGATGAATCAGATACGGCCTTCCACCCTCCCTGCCTAGTGTGGGGAGGCACAGACACCTGAACATGTAGGAGTGTGGGGCTTCAGAGAGGAAGACTACGGCAAAGGGGACTCAGGCCCGCAGATGCCCTTGCACTTTGCCGTTCACACTCAGTGCTGTTTTTATTTCTCACTGAGACGCTCTGTGTCTCTACCAGGTGCTGCTTTCGCACTTGGCCAGAATTCCGTGGGGTCTTTCTCCTTGGGAAGAGTGGACTCAAGCTGATAGAATTCATTTTCTCACTCATAGTTTTTTGAGAGCCTGGACTTAAACCATTTCAGACAAGCTGCAGTATATTTATGCTTTTTATGTCCTGTGATGGCATCTCGATAGATTAATTTTATCTTATAAATTGCATTTTACCTCCCCAGTGTTTTTATTTTCCCTGTTGTATCTTTGTGTTCTTCTCAGTTGCTTGGCTAAGTTTCAAGTCCATGGTTATGTGTATTTTTTTTCTCTTTGTGAGTGCCTATAGCTCAGCCCTTTGTGGGAACAGCCTACCAAGACAGCCCAGAAGAGGAAAAAGGAATGAAAGCCACACCCTCCATCTGGAGAGACAAGGAAATGGACAATGATCAGCAAACAAACTACGAGATCGGTCAGAATTCACCCTTCCTGCGTATCGAGTAGTGACCACGTGCCAGGCATCATTTGAGATGTTTAATGTAAAAATTACCAGTAGGCCTGCAACTGCCCTCTCAGGGCATTATTTGTATTCCCATCTCAAACACAGGGAAGCTAAGGTTGTTAAAAAATGATTGCCCTTGGAACCAGCAGATGGTGTAATGGTTATATCACTGAACTCCTACGTAGTTAACCGTGGTTCAAGTTCTGGACCCGGTGTCTTAAAACTCATGTCAGGTGCATGTGTATGCATGCCCCAAATCCTGAGACAGGAAGGGTGGAGAAGGGATTGTGGTGTGGCCATCTCCTCTGGGGAGTGATTTCTTGCTTTCTGTCTCTCTCTCTCTCTCCAGTGAATGCATGTACCTTATAGTTATAGCAAAAAGAAAAAAAAAAAACTCTTTAATAAAAAGATTGTCCCAGGGTCACGCAGTTGCTAAGTAGGAGGAAGAGTCAAGTACAGCAGGATGTCTGCCAGAGCCACCTGTCCATCCCTCAGATGCTTTCCCACCAGGCAGTAGGCTGGGTCGAGGTGGGTCAGCATGGAAAGACAGTACCTGCTCTTCAGGGAGCTCGTACATAGGAGGAGCCTGGTCTCCCAGCAGTAGTGTGGTCAGTGCTGCCCTGGCTGAGGTGTACACAGGGTGGCCTTTGCTTGCCCAGGAAGCATGGGTCAGGAGAACCTGTGGTTGAGACTGGGTGTGTGGGTTTGCCGAGCAGTCAGTGGCAAGGTGTAGAGATGTGAGTGATGCCATGGCGTTCCTTTCTCTTTAGAATTCTGCAGCATCATAAGCATATTGATAAGCATAAAGGATAATACCACAAAGACCCATGTTCTCATTCAACTGGAATAAACAAAATGCTTACATTTTTCTTTTTACCTTAAATTTTTTTTCCCCTGTCATAAAACAAACAAACCAAGTCTCCGTTATCTGGATCTAATTCACCCTGTGAGAAGAGTTGTCCTCAGGAAACCCATATTTGTCATGAGATGGCCATGGGAACAGTAGTCCTGGTGAAGTACTAAGTGGTGGGGCCTGTTCTCAATGATGTGCACTTTCCCAGGGCCTGAAGTCAGTGCAGGTGATCAGATATTTCTGTGTGTGCTGGGCTTTGAGGAGAAAATTACCAAGCAGTAAAGTAACCCTTAGCTGAATTGTAGAATGTTCTAGAACTATAATATTTCTTACATTACAAATAAATGATCCTAGGGACATCTTTTGATTTCTTGCTTGTAGTTAGTGATTAATAAAGACTTCTTGACTGACTGGCAGTTTCCCTTTCCCTCTCAGTACTGTTTTATTGCAAAACTTCCATTTTTGTGACTGTGCTTCTAGAATATTGCATGTGCTGTTCCCTGTGCCTGAGTGCCAGCCCCTTCCTCTCACTGTTGCCTTGCTGATGCTTCATTTAGCTCCCTGTTTAAATGTCACTTTTCAGGGGAGCATTTCCTGGATATTCTAGTTATTTGGGCACTGCATTAGTCCTCTCTGCTTTTTCCCCATCTGCACCAGTTGGTGTAGAAATGACTAGCTTGGTGACCACCCCTGGAGGGTGTCTTCATTGCTGCTTGGTCTTCAGTAGCCTCTGAAGAGAGAATAAAGGGAATTCCGCAGATGTTATCGGCCTTCACATCGAGGGTTAAGAAGGCTCCCTCTCTGCCCAGGCACCCCTGGTATAGGAGACCCCGAATGCAGGAGCATTGTGTCAGGAGGCAGCCTCCAGAGAGTTAGAGGCAGGCTGCTAGGCTTTGCTGAAGAGCCCTGTGCTCACTACCCTGGACCTTGGGTGAGTTCTTAAGCTCACCAAGCCTCGTTCTCCTCTTCTGTAAAGTGGGGTTCCTAATGATACCTCACAGGGTGGTTGTAAATAGATAACACAGTGAGGTGCTTGGTGCCCGGGCAGGTCCTGGCACATAATTAATGAGGCTCTAGTGACCTGTGGGTTCACACATAGGCCACAGCTTGTAGTCTCCTTCCCCACACCCTCCCTGCAATGGCTTGTAACTGAAAGGCAGAAGCAGCTCCTTTGGACCCTTGTCAAGGGCAAGTGAGCAGAAAAGAGCAAAGCCACACTGCCATGCTGGTGCTGGGCTGAGACTTCCTGTGTGTTGCCCTTGAAGTTAGAAACAAAATCCTTACCTCTGCTAAGTCACACATTGCTAGAATTGGTGGGCGTTGGGGGACATTCCAAAATATTAGGTTGTCAGGAAAGTCATGACGTATTTTTCTATGCAAAAATGCTCATGACTTTCCTGACAACCCAATAAAAACTATGAAATGTCAAGTGCCTGAATATTCTGTTTGTTGCATTGCTAGGAGCAAAGTTTAAAGTGGAGGTCTAGGTATGGGTGTGAGAGTGCACACCCTCCTACACATTTTGAGGTGTGTGTGTGCATGAGAGAGCATACACACTTGTGTGTAGCTAAACATCAGAGCTGGCCGGTTTACACCATGAAAAGACACTTGGATGGGACTTAATATGTGTCTTTGCCTCATGATTACTTAACAAAAGTCATCTAACTAATCTTCATTCTCATGAGCGAACATTGCTTCTTGCCATGAAATACAGACTAAATTCCATTATCATGAGATTGTTACAGCAGAGATATTTCCTTGTCTTAGAGGGTGATTCACTGGAACAAAGTCTTGTTGAGTGATCTTTCTCCCTTCTTCTGCTCTCTCTCAGTCATTCAGCCAGAAATACTTCCAGAGTACCCTCTGTCACAGGTCCGTTTGCCAGACGCTGGAGAAACAGAGGTGGATGATATGGTCTCCCCCCTCTAGGACCTCATAGACAGATGATCCTAACAAATTATCAACAGTAAAAATGCCCTATCAGGAATGCTTCCTTTAGGTCATGTAGCAGCTACTTTCTAAAACAGATTTATTTAGTTATATTTGTACCCTGAGCAGGAAGGTAAGAGTGGACCTAAAGTCCCAAGGAATAGATTGTAGAACCAGAAATTGAAACATGTAGTTTGACAAGGCTTTTTGTGTGATTTCCTTTCTGTGCTGTCTCCTTGGTCATCTGGTCCAGTCCACATTGTTGCTTTTGCAGCATTTCTCCAGGCCAGCCTTCTCTTGCACCCTTTAGTGATGGGCATCTCTGTCTGTTTTTGAACTGTTCTTAAGAAGCAAAGGATTTTCACATTAGCTGGGTTTCGCCTCTGTGTGCCAGACGTTGTGTTAGATTTTGCAAGTATTTTTCCAGATACTTCTAAAAGCAAAACCAACTCAATTCTTCACAGGGAATGATGTATATATTTTCCATTTTATAGATGTAGCTACTATGTCTCAGAGAGATTAAGGAGCTTGCCTAAGGTCATGCAAGTAAGTGGCTGAGCCACAGTTAAAACCAGGCCTGTTGGATTTCAAAGATGAGTTTTCCACTATATTCTGCTGCATCTTAAATATTCAAACAATTCCTTAAATGGAGCTGAGCTTTGCCTGGACAGCAGGCAATGTGGGATAGCGGGTAAAGACAGAAGCTCTGGAGGCAGGTGCGAACTTGGAGCCTCACTGTAACCATATTAGGCATCTCTTTTTCTCATTTTATACATAGGGGAAACTGAGGCGCTGGGACAGTAAGTTACTTGCATAAAGCTGTGCAGCTTGCAAATGGCGAATCTCTCTGTGAGTCTGTTTCTTTTTGGCTTCAAAGCTACATATTCTTCCTGCCACACTGCTCTGCCTTTTCGGCAAGTTTGGCTGCATCTCTGGGGATTTCAGCTAGCTCTCAGGAACAATTTCCTGACTGTGCTGTGAGTCCGTGAAACAGGTCACCAAAGGGGACATCATGGCATGTCCTGGAAACTGAAACTATCGTCCCCCATTATCAAGATCCCCAGGGAATGCCTGAAACTGTATATATACTATACATACTATATATAGTATTAAGCCTTATATTTAGTATGCCGGGTTTTTCTTTTCTTTTCTTTTCTTTTCTTTTCTTTTCTTTTCTTTTCTTTTCTTTTCTTTTCTTTTCTTTTCTTTTCTTTTCTTTTCTTTTCTTTTCTTTTCTTTTCTTTTCTTTTCTTTTCTTTTCTTTTCTTTTCTTTTCTTTTCTTTTCTTTTCTTTTCTTTTCTTTTCTTTTCTTTTCTTTTCTTTCTCATGATTGAGAGGGACAGAGCTATTAATAGAGAGACAGCACCCCCAACGGGGCTTGACACAGTCTTCCCTCAGCCTCAACCGAACTTGGATCATGAGCACACCTGTGCCTGGCATAGTAAGGGAGGGCTCTGGATGTGAACCCAGAATCTTCTCATGTGGGTCAGTCACACAGAACTTTACAGTTTACATTGCCCCCTGCCCAGCCCCCATATACTGTGTCTTTATGATTTGATAGCCGAGATGTACTAAGCAACTAAGTTGGTGGGTCGTGTAAGCAGACTGGATATGCTGGACAGAAGGATGATTCACAACTCAGGTGGGGTGGGGTGGCATCTCATCATGCCTCTCAGAGGAATGCGTAATTTAACACAAGTTGGCTACTTCTGGAATTTTCCATTTGATATTTTTGGATTGTGGTAGACCACTAGTACCCAAAACTGTAGAAAGCAAAACTGTGGATGGGAGACGACTATAGATATGGAAATAAGACTCTCACTGTCGTGCCTGTTAGAATTACCGCTCTGTAATCGTGCCTCACTGAGTCCCTCAGCAGTTCTCAGACTGCCACTGACTTCTGGTCCATATAGGTACTGTACTAGGCCTTGAGAACCGAAGATGGCCACAGCCCTGCTGTGATTTGGTTTGGCGATGGAGAGAGGCATGCGAAGAACTATCATACTTGCTGTGTACGAGCTTAGCCATGGCCTCTCAGTTCTTTATTAGAACCTGTCACGGATACTGTTTGTCTTGAGTAATTGTGTGAGAAGCTATGGAAGCACAGAGAGAATGACTTTTGTGTAGTTTGGAGGTGGGAATCACAGAGGAAGGAGAATTAGATCTGGATATCGAGAGACAAATTAGAATCCACTGAGTAGGAGTAGAATAGAGGGCTCAGTATTCCAGGCCTAGGGCACAGCACACGAAAAGCAGGAGGTATGTGCAGGAATCATGGTTAATTTAGTAGGAAGTCTTCTCGGAGGTGCCAGGGATGTTCCTGGAAAGGTTGCCTGGACTAGATCATGGAGGTTCTCAGTAGATAATGGAGATGTTGGGGAGTTTTTGGGAGGTGTGCGTAGGGGAATTTTCATAGTTAAATGAATATTTTGAAACTGTATTGCTCTGAGGAAAAGGATGTATTTGAGAAGCAAGCAGGAAGGACTGGATACAGGGAGGCTTGCTGGAAGGCTGTTGTAGATACCTTGGCTCAGCTATGGCTACACGGAGGAGAGGGTGGGAAGGATTTCAGCAGAGACGCTGACATTATTGTGTTTGATGTTTCAGACTCTGAAATTCCCTCACCTGATGACCTTGCCATCTTGCCAGCACGCCAAGAGATTCCTGAAGATTTTGTGGACCCAACTTCAGTAGCCGCTTCTTATTTGAGTTCTAAGAATCAGCTTTCCATTAAAAGCAGTATGGTTGGGAATTATCAGCCTGAGAATATCGATACCTCAAATGATACAGAATGTTTAAAACGGAAAATCCTTGACTTGGAAACTGAGCTGGAAGGCTACCGGAATTTCCTGTTTCGGCTTCAGAAGCACTCTCAGTGCAGTGAGGCCATTATCACGGTTCTGTGTGGGACAGAAGAGGCCCAGGAGGGCTCAAACAAGCCCAAGGGAAGTACTGATGAAGAAGAAATGACGTTTTCAAGTTTGCACCAAGTGCGATACGTGAAACACATGCAAATCCTCCATCCACTGGCTCCAGAGATGATCGAGGGCAGGATGCTAGAGAATCTCAAACAGCAGCTGGTGGAGCAGGAGTATGAGCTGCAGAAGGAGCAGAACTTGAACATGGAACTTTTCAGCGAAATCCATAACCTGCAGAATAAGTACAAAGAGCTTTCACCCTCAAGGTATATGCGTTGGTCCTCTGTCTTCTCCTGGTTTAAACACTCATCCCTTATGTCGCCCCAGGCCAGAGTCCAGCAGCTAACTAGGAATGCTGTCCTGTGATGGGCTGCAGTGTGGCCTGGGGAAGACTCGACAGTGAGCGCAGGTAGCCAGGCCCTGCAGATAAGTGAAAGGAGAGGTAAAGATTAGCGCCCGCCCACGTGCATGTGGAGTCGTGCATCCTCTGAGGTTGGCAGGGCATAGTGTGCCTTCCTCCTAAGTTTATGCCAGTTTCTTGGTGAGCTGTGGTGCTTTTGCTGACTGCTGGTGTTTACCCATGGACTCTGATACTGGCTTTTCCTGTGCTGTGGAGCTAAACTGATGTCCTAGGCGGGCTGGGAGGAATATAAATATTTTCCATATCTTTACCCTTTAAGGTCATTTGAGAGAAATAAGCCTGTGTTGAAAGAGAAGAATTCTTAGGTCATGAAGATAATGCTTTATGGGTGTAGATAGATCTAGCTTTGCTTCATGAGATATGGCAAAAATGAGATCGTTTGTAATGTTGACCTTCAGTCGTCTCTAATGTGAAACAAACACATGGTTCTGAATTGTCAGGAGACAGAGTAAGTTTTTCAAGATTTTCCACAATGTGAGATTGAAGGAAGCTTGTATTAATTGAAGAAGGGCTGTTGTTTCAGGCCCCTGATTAGGAGCTTTTCTTACGTAGTTTTCAAAGTCACCTGAGAAGGAGAGGTTGCTAACAGAATATTCCCAGAGCTAAGTCAGAGTGATTGCCAGGGTTCAAGTCCACATCATCCCATTCCAATACCCACCTTCCTTCTCTTTCATGATATTGACTCCCACCTCAAATACCAGTGTCAGGGGAACCAGCAGTTAGCGTAATGGCTATGTTGCTGGACTCCCATGTAGTCGACCGTGGTTCGCGTCCCGGACCTGGTGGCTTAAAATCACGCTGGGTGCGTGTGCGTGCGTGCCCAAGATCCCGAGAGGAGAATGGAGGAGAAGGGATTGCGGCGTGACCATCCCCCCCTGGGGGGTGATTTCTCACTTTCTGTCTCTGTCTCTCTCTCTCTGTCTGTCTGGCGAGTGTACGCGCCCTATAGCGAAAAACCTCTCCAAAAAAAAAAAAAAATACCAGTGTCAGGTGATCTGTGTGTGCATTTTTGGTGCCTTTGAAGGTGGTCTCCAGGCCCATGGACTGTCATCATTTCAGGGAAGGGGTTATATGTCAAAGTAAAGTGGCCTGTGTCTTTGCCAGTCACTCTCAAGAGCCAGGTGACTGTGGCCACAGTTCATAGGAGAATTCTCCCTTAATCTGTGCTTCTCTAGGTGCCTCCCAACACGTGTGGGCTCACCTGGGACAGGAAGCATGGGGTAATTAGGAGCGTATTACGTAACAGAGATTTGAAGTCAAAGCTGGTTCGAATCCTAAGTCTTCATCAGTTTCTTCTTCTATAAAAGGGGACATTCGTACGTCTGTTGGAAGACTGGGAGGAGGTGCGGAGGGCAGTTAACTTCTAGAAGACACTTCAGTGACTGACAGGTCCTAGACCCTCAATAAATAGTAATTAGGATCATGATGATTTTCTGACCTTTCAGTTGAGAGGAGAAAGTCCTATCTTTTTTCCTTGCCTTCCACATTTTAATTTCTTTGTTACTTCATGAGAATTTTTGGTGGGTCCCCTGACCCTCGGGACATTTGTTTCTGCAATTCAAAGTAGTATTTCTGAAGAGTGTATGGAAACTAATTGTTCTTTTGAATCCTTGTCAATCTGCTCTTTAATTGGGGGCTTTATAAGGTTAAAAATATTGCAGAGGAATCTTTGTTCCAGCATTTGTGGGCTATTTGAAATCGAAGGAGTGACCTTGTACAGTTTCAATTTTTCTTAAAGTATATATACTTGTACAGCTGCAGGCTTTTAAAAATTGTGCTCTGTCATTTTTCCAATTAGTGTTAAGGTCACAAAAATTCAATTCTAAAATGGTACAAGCCTTTTCTCCCCTCCCCCTTTTCATCAGATACGATTCATTAGTTCAGTCCCAAGCCAGGGAGCTGTCCCTTCAACGGCAGCAGATTAAGGATAGCCATGACATCTGTGTCATTTATCGTCAACATGTGAACACCATGATTAAGGCATTCAAGGAGTTGCTGCAGGCCAGCGATGTGGATTACTGCGTGGCCGAGGGTTTCCAGGAGCAGCTGCATCAATGTGCTGAACTGCTGGAGAAACTGGAAAAGCTGTTTCTCAATGGTAAGTGGAGTGAGGTGTGAGAGTCCAAGACACCTCAGTCATGGGTTGACCCAGGACTTCTGGAGGGGCATGGGAGGAACTGACTCTTCAGCCTTGTCCATCTCCTGCCCTTCTGCTCTGGTGAAGGGACAGCAGAACCCCAGAGGCTGCTTTTGAAGCTTTAGTAAACACTTCCATGTGGTCTGCTCTGCTGCTGGTCTGCACTGTTCTAAACCCGGGTTTAGTGTAGCCCCACAGGGGCCAGCTGAGTTGGGCATGTAAGTGAAGCCAGCTGAGGGGTGCTCCCCTCCGTGTTAGCTGCACAGTTGCTGGTTCTTCTGAGTTATCCAGAGAAGACGGAAAAACTCATGTTTTTTAAATGTTGGCAACCAAAAAAATCCAACCAGTCTTGTAACACTTCTAATTATAGAACATATCCAAGGGTCAGGGATGGCCAGAAAAAAGAAAGGAAACCTTGACTATCCAGCCTTTGACTCTGTGCTAGGTACTTTAAAAAATGTTATTGTATTACAGTTTAGAGAATTTTTTTTTTTTAACATAAGGTGTTTACACTTGTAGAGTGACAGAGAGAGGAAAGTGAGAAATCATCCCCCGCAGGGGAGTGGCCATATTGAAATCCCTTCCCCTGTAGGGATTGTCAAGCCACTGAGACTGGGCCATGAATCATGGTTGGCCATGTGGGAGTCTAGCACACTAATCACCATGTTACCTGCTGGTCCTACATTATAGTTTAAAAAGAAATTTTTTTTTCAGACTATAACAAAGAACCTCCATGTATTTTCCATCCCTACTTTATTAGTTCTTAGCATTCTGCCACTTTTTTTTTTCACTCTCTCTAGATATACACACATGGCCCCACACGCATTCTCTTTCTGAATTCTCTGATAGTGACATGACCATGTCATGTCTCTTTCTCCCTTCATCTTCAGTGTATAGTTACTTAGACCAAGAATGTTCTTTTATGTAGCTACAGTACACTTATGCAAATTAGGATGGTATTACTTCATTTACATCTATAGTATTGAATAGCTTATAATAGTCTGTATTATCTAATATCCATTATATTCAAATTTCTATAATTGATTCAGTAACGTTTATGACAATTTCATTCCTGATCCAGTCTTCATGTTACATTTAGGTGTCATGTCCCGGTGGTTTCCTTTAACCTGGATACCTCCTCATCCTCCCTTTATCTTTCATGACATTAACATGCTTGAAGAGTTCAGCTAGTCCCTCACTTCGTGATTATCTGTCCCTTCCTTGTTACTAATTAGATTAGGTTAATTATACAATTTTTGTGGGAATAGTGCATGAGTGATTTTTTTTCTTCTCATGTTATCGCAGGAAGGAGGCACATGATAACAGCTTGTCCCATATTTGGTGATATTAACTTTGATCACTTGGTTAAGGCGATGTCTGTCAGGTTTCTCCACTGTGTATTTCCCTGTGCAATGAATAAGTAATCAGTGGGGGACGCATTGTCGCTGCAAATATTCTCTTCCTCTTCAGACTTTTTTTTTTCTTTTTTTGAGAGGTTTTTGCTACAGGCTGTGTGCACTCGCCAGAGAGACAGAGAGACAGACAGAAAGTGAGTAATCACCTCCCAGGGGGGATGGCCACACCACAATCCCTTCTCCTCCATTCTCCTCTCGGGATCTTAGGCACACATGCACACACGCCTGGCGTGAGTTTAAGCCACCGGGCCTGGGACTTGAACCGCGGTCGACTGCATGGGAGTTCGGCGACATAGCCATTATGCCAACTGCTGGTCCCCAGACTTTTTTTTAATGATAGCAAGTACGTGTGCATATGCAGGAGAGAGAGGGAGAGAAAAAGACACCACAGACAGGGTCTTGCTGTACTGCAGTCCTCCTTTCCCAGCCCCTCTCCAACTCCTTTGGATCGTGGAAGACATCCCACTTTCCCTCTTTCTCCTCACCCCTACTGTGTGTTTTTAGGCTCACCTAGGATGCAAACCTGAGGTTGACCATGTGGCTCCCAGCATTGCAGCCGCACACACCGCGGATTGCACCACTAGGCTGGACCCTCTTGAGACTTTTACCCATGAGTTTTACTGATCCTTGATGATTCTTGGCTGGTGTTTTTTTCCCTATCATCATCATTCTTTCATTAATTATTAGGTGGGATTTACCAAAATGATGCATCGTCCACTAAACTTACTTTGTTTATATATTGTTTACTTGCTTATTATCAGTATGGGCTTATAGGTTCTTATTTTATTTGATAGACTGTTATCCATTCTGTCATTCATACTGATGCTCATATTGTCCCAGATTTGGTAGGTGGCAGTTCCTTTGACATGTCTCCATCTTCTGGAGAGTGTTTCCTTGCTTTCTGGTACAAAAAAGATATTCCAGGCTCATCTTGTAATTGTCCCTGAACAAGCTTTATTTCTCCAAGTTGTCTTGGCTCCTTCGAGTGGGGAGTAGTATTTAAAAACCAAAATTTCACACTAGGTATGTTCTTTGCTATTAGGGTGTCATTGTTTCTAGGCCCTTTAACAGGCAGAACTAGTGTGTGTGTGTGCACACGTGTGTGCACGTACATGTGTATGTGTATACCTTGTTTAAAAAATCTTTACTTCACAATGTGGTTCCAAAGTCAAAATGTTTATTCTTTTCAATCACCTGCATGAAAGCATTATTTTTATTCCTCTACCTTATATCCATTGGCATTACTTTCTAGTACCTTTTTCTCTTTTAAACCCTTCAGGACTTGGCTTTTAGTCATCCCAGCCTCTCCACTGAAATGGAGAGTCACTAACAACTTCTACCAAGGCAGAACTTCTGCTTTTCCAGATCCAGTGATCAGTTTTCAGCCTTCATCTTAGAGCACAGCAGTGTTGGACATGGTCATTCCCTTCCTCCTTGGGGAGATCCTGTGGTCACTTGGCTCCTTAAGAGGACCCACTCAGAGCTAAAGTTCTCCTACTCCACTGGCTGTCCCTTTGAAGCTCCACTCCAATACAAACTCCGCATCTGACTGATCTTCACGACGCCTTGCCACCATGCTCCAGTCAGCAGGGATGGCTCAAGCCTCTCCTGCCTGGTTTCTGTCCACCCTTGCTCCACTCAGTTTACCTCCCACCAAGCATTTGTCTTCTTTGTGATTGAGGCTTACTCAGAACAGCCTGTTTTACACATGGGGACAGGGCCTGAGCAAAGTGTCCTAAGTGCCTCAGTGGAGCCAGGATTTGACTGCTCTTTCACCTTCAGATGCACAAAACCGGTGGTTCAGGAGTGCCCACCTGTGCTCACTTAACTCCAGGATAGAATGCGGGGTAATTTGTCTGTCTGGGCCCAGTGAATACTTTCTCTCAACTTTTCCAAAGCATCTAACAACTCCGTGGACTGATTTTCTTAGTATTTGTTCCCCAGGAACTTTGAGGACCAAGGTATTAGAGCACTTGAATTTTCTCAGCTTTAAAAAAAATCCACTTTCTTTTGGTTAAGATTTTCTGAATAAGCTAGTTTTCATTTTATTAACTGAGAAATAACTGGGTCTTCATGATAAAGCTGTATCTTCCAGGCCCTAGGCATTTTCCGTCTGTCTCTTTTCTTCCTGCAAACCTTCACCAGAGGCCGGAGGAAGTAGGAGGCTGAGGGAGAGTGCCTCTGGCACCAGCTGCCCTCCCTCACTCACCCAGCTGCCCCCTGGATTTATTTTTTAGTTATTTACCTTGACAAGCCCATGGAGATCCCACTTGTTTCCTGCAGATTTTAGAGACAGAAGCATTTCAGCTTTTCCTTTTCCTCTCTATTTCTCATTATCATCAGTATGTAAAAGGGAGTGGGCTGGAAAAGGCAGGCTGAGGAAGGCCTCAAAAAGAAAGGAATGTTTTGGATTCACCTCTGTCAGCAAAAGGCAAGGGGTCCCAGCAGCTGTCTTCTGTTGGTGAGGTTACGTCCTGATGCACACGGTGAGCTCGCTGAAGAAATGGGGCCTCTTCTTAGTGCTTTCCCAGTGCTCGTGTTGGGAAGCAACACATGCTATGTTACATTTTCTTAGTAAAATGTAACACAGAGGTGAGCCTTTCTTGGATTCTGTGTAAGGGGTCCGGCTCTGAATTATGGAATGAGCCTATCACATGGTAGTTCTATATTTGGGGCAGTTATATAGGGCTGTCTTTTTTTCTTCTTCTTTGTTCATAATAGAATGTGTGCGTGCACGTGGTTGGGGTGCTGAGCACCCTCGCAGCCTCTGGCCATGCTGTGATCCCCCTCCTCCAGCTCTCCAGCCCCTGGTCAGATCCTGGACACTGGTGGGCCCAGGGTGTTTTGGCCTGACCTGGCTAAGGACTCAAGCTGTGGTCGTCAGGTGGGATCTAGGTCTCTCGAGCAGCATATTACCACTATGCCATGGAGCTGGCCCCATTGTACAAGTTCTGTAACATTTAAATATAACTTAAAAGAATGTATTTTTATTATTTTATATATATATTTGTTTGTGTGTGTGTGTATATATACACACATTAAATCACTGTATGTCATTACAGCATGCAAAATGAATTCAATATAATTTTAAAATTATTATTATACAAAGCAATACATGCTTACTGTGGAACAGATAAGCAAATATTCCTATAGTTGTGTCATTTACATAGAAAAGTATGAGCACCTTTTATTGAGTTTATATGTCCACATTTTTATATTTTATGGCAGTGGAACTATTTGCAGCATCTCCCTTTGTTCAGTTATAGATAGTAAATATGCATCTACATTGTATGCTTGAGTGGCTGCAGTGCATTCCTTTGTATAAATGTACTGTAATTTATTTAATTATTCCCCATTGGATGTACATTTAAGTTGTTTCTAGATTGGGACAGTTATAAAGAACACTGTGTTAGAATCTCTGTACATATCCTCGCTATTTCTTTAATAATATATATTTTTTAAAATAATGATTTATTTTTAATTTTTTATTTATTCACTCATTTATTTTAATTTGACCAGAGAGAGACACACAGAGAGAAAGAGAGA